ACTGTCTTTTACAACTTGTTATTTGGTTGTTTCCTATTGTAATTGCTATGTTGCTGTTCCATGAAGGTCTCCTGATACATCAAGAGTCAGAAGTAAGATGATTTATGCAAGCTCCAAGGACAGATTTAAGAGAGAACTTGATGGGATTCAGGTGGAATTACAAGCAACTGATCCTACTGAGATGGGCCTTGATGTCATTAAAAGCCGTGCTGGCGGTGCTGCCTAAATATGAATCCCAGTCCTTGCAATGGTGACTCCCCCCGTCTTCTGTACTTGAGTGAAGTGTTTATAGGTTGTGGGATGGTAAACCTCGGTTTATTTATGACATAATGGTCTAAGTTTTCCGGTAGTCTTTATTCATTTTGAAGCAGAACCCGTGCTATCTGGTATATGTGATTTGTCTTTACTTAATCTATGTGTTGAGTGCCTTCTTGGAGTCTTTATCTCTACAAGCTAATGTGTAACCGTTTGTAAGAGGTTAGACAACACTCAGAAATCTTCTTTAAGTTTCAATTATCAACCACTGTCAATTTATCTTGGCTTGTTGAAGTATTTCGATGGTTTAATGGTCTCTTGTTTTGGCTTGTTTCTAGCACATAGATTAAAATGCTAAGGGAAGTAGGGAATTACCAGCTCTTGTACACTTTTCAGTGATTGGCCAATCATTGCCTTGCATTTCGTTAAGTTGAAACTAAGACTTGAACTTGGAATGGAATAGCCACGCCTGATGCTATTTAAGATGCTTTGTCTCATATTTCCACTATTTTGGCTGAGGCAAGTGAGGGAATGCAAACTTTTATTAAGGCATGAAACGTTTGCAACTATTCGTTGCCACTTGAAGATCATAAGGTTACGACATGCAGACAAGCAGCTTGAGTCTTACAAAGGCGGGCTGTTTGTTTTCTGAAAATTTACACGGTCAGGTCATGTTTAATTGCCGCTGGCATCACATGGCCAGTATTTGTTTAGGCATTAAGGGTGTCACACTCCACATGGGTCGAGAGTGTTGGCGATCTTAGACGGTGGCAGTGGCTTGGTGATCTTCGGTTCAATCTTGAATTTTGCATCACCTGGGAAGGAGTTGTTTTGGGCTGGATAACGGGAGAGGAAATCAAAAGAAAAATGAGTTTTGCAACACGGGTTATCGGGTTGCATAGCTTATATTATTGGATGAAAGTAACCTCCTCTTATTTAATAATTTCTATGGATACTAGTAAAAACTTACTTTTAACTCATCATTTTATCAAGTTTGAAAGTTTTAATCCTTTATCTTATACTATAATACTTTTAGCTTATAACTTTACTAAATTTATAAGTTTTAGCCCATCACTTATTAAAATCAAAGAAAATAGCCATCACTTTATATTAACTGTTAATTCTGTTAGTTAAAAATAGATTTTTATCAACTAACAGTCAATTAATAGTCAATTAACAGAATTAACGAAATATTATAAAATTAGTTCTATTAACTCTGTTAACTGAAAAAAGGTTTTTGATAGTTAACAGTCAACTAACAGTCAACTAACAGTCAATTAATAGAATTAACAGTCAGCTAACAGAACTAACAAAATGTTACAAAGTGGGGGCTATTTTTTTCAATTTTAATAAGGGAGGGGCTAAAAGTATCATAATATAAGGTGAGGGATTAAAACTTATAAATTTAATAAAATAAAGGGTTAAAAATATCATAATATAAAATTGAGGCTAAAACTTTTAAACTTAATAAGAGGGACTAAAAGTAGGTTTTGCCACTGATACCTCATGCATCGCAAAATAGGAGGCTAAAAAAAACACACACGCACACACAAAATAAACTAAAGGTTAAATCTCCATTTTAATCCCTCAACTATTATATGGACCTTTGATTTAATCCCTTAACTCAAAGAATCCTTAATTTGATCCCTATTGTTTACCATTTTAACCCCAACTTGGTCATTTTGTTAAATTTTCCTCAACTTGGTCATTCTATTAAATTTTCCACTATGTGTCCCATTACTTAACAGAAAAAGATAATGTGTAAAAATAGTTTGACATGTAAGATTAACAGTAGGACAACTAAGTTTTAACACGTAATTTCTAATTAAAAATTAAAATATTTTAAACTAATTATAAAATTAAAATTACTCTTTTACCCTCTTCTTCAACCACACATCAATTTCTTTCCTTTCTCCTTTCGTTGCCCTTTCTTTTTCATCTCTAGCCTCTTTGGTTGTTCATTTTCTTCCTCCAATAGGCATCATTTTCTCTCTCCCTTCCCCAACACCAGATTTGGGTTTGATTAAACCCAGCAACGCTTGCTGGGTTTGATTGAACCCAATGTCGAACCCAGCAGGCTCTGGGTAAAAAATAAAAATAATTTTATGTTTTTTTTGTGGGTATTGTTGTTTGATGAAGAAGAAGAACTGATTGATGAAGATGAAAGATGGATTTTGAACCTAGAAGCAAAAAACAAAAATGATTTTGTGCTCCTTTTTTTTGTGTGGGTATTGTTGTTTGATGAAGAAGAAGAAGAATTGATTGATGAAGAAGGCAAGGCAAGGAAAAGGAAAAAAGGAAAGAGGATGAAAAAGGAGAATTTTTTAAGTTTTTATTGCCATGTCATTAATTTGTTGCCGGGTTGTCTTTTCATGTGGACCTAATAGTTTGACATATCATCATGTTTATGTTAAATAACGGAACATGTAGGTGGATTTTTAATGGAAGGACCAAGTTGGGATTAAAATGGTAAACAATAGGGACCAAATCAGGGATATTTTGAGTTGAAGGACTAAATCGAGGGTCCATATAATAATTGAGGGACTAAAATGGGGGTTTAACCTAAAATAAAAATCTAGATGAAATAGTCATTGCTTGTTCCCTCTATTGTCTCACTTCAAATGGATTAGCTGCTTCAAAGCACCAGAAATCACCGCAAAAATGGCTTTCACTTCTTGTCTCAAATCTTACACATGGTCTCCCTCTCCATCTCTCCCCCGAAAACCCACTTCAAACTCCACCATCTTCTTCGCCTCCTCACAGCCCCAACAAACCCAGACCCACTCTTCACTTTCTCAGAACCTCACCCCATCCCAGCTCCTCGACACTCTCTGTCGGGAAACAGACGAATCCTCCGCTCTCCGCCTATTCAATTGGGCTTCAAAGCAGCCAAATTTTACTCCAAGTTTGCCCATTTACGAAGCGCTTCTTGCCAAACTTGGAAAGGCCGGCTCTTTCGATGCGGTTGAAGGTATTCTGGAGGAGATAAAGCTCTCGGGATGTGAAGTTACCACAGGTACTTTCTTAATTCTCATCGAGAACTATGCTAAGTTTGAGTTGTATGATGAAATTCTTGGTGTTGTTGAATTGATGGAGAGTGAGTTTGGGTTACAGCCCAACACCCATTTTTACAATTCCCTGTTGAATTTTCTTGTTGATGGGAATAAGCTGAAGTTATTAGAGATTGCACATAATGGCATGGTCAGTAGAGGGATTAAGCCTGATGTTTCTACTTTTAATATATTGATTAAAGCTTTATGTAAAGCACATCAAATTAGGCCTGCAGTTTTGATGATGGAAGATATGGCTAGTTATGGGTTGACCCCAGATGAGATAACTTATACTACTTTAATGCAAGGGTTTATTAAGGAGGGTGATTTGAATGGTGCGATGAGAATTAGAGATTACATGAGGGAAGCTGGATGTGCAGCTACTAATGTGACTGTGAATGTTTTGGTACATGGGTTTTGCGAGGAGGGTCGAATTGAGGAAGCTATGAATTTTATTCAAGAGATGACAAGTGTTGGATTTTATCCTGATCAGTTCACATTCAATACGTTAGTGAATGGTTTGTGCAAGGCAGGGCATGTTAAGCATGCTTTGGAGGTCATGGATTTGATGCTTCAAGAGGGCTTTGATCCAGATATATTTACCTACAACTCCTTGATTTCTGGATTGTGCAAACTGGGTGAGGTTGAGGAGGCAGTTGAGATTCTGAATCAGATGGTTTTGAGGGATTGTTCGCCGAACACTGTTACGTATAATGCTTTGATTAGCACCTTGTGTAAAGATAACCACGTTGAAGAGGCTAGCAGACTCACTCAGGTTCTTACAAGTAAGGGAATTGTACCGGATGTTTGTACATTTAATTCTTTGATACAAGGTCTGTTCTTGACAAGAAACCATAGTAGTGCCATGGAATTGTTTGAGGAGATGAAGAACAAAGGATGCCAGCCGGATGAATATACTTACAATATGTTGATTGACAACTTGTGTTTTAGAGGGAAAATGGAAGAGGCCTTAAGCCTGCTCAAAGAAATGGAATCGAGTTGGTGTACTCCAAATGTTGTCACATATAATACTTTGATTGATGGATTTATTAAAAACAAGAGGATTGAAGAAGCAGAGGAGATCTTTGATGAAATGGAACTTCAAGGGGTTTCAAGAAATGCAGTGACCTATAACACCCTCATAGATGGTCTTTGTAAGAGCAGGAGGGTGGAGGACACTGCACAGCTTATGGACCAGATGTTAATGGAAGGATTGAAGCCTGACAAATTCACTTACAATTCTCTGCTTACATACTTTTGCAGGGTTGGGGATTTAAAAAAGGCAGCTGATATTGTACAGACTATGACTTCGAATGGGTGTGAGCCAGATATTGTCACCTATGGAACCCTGATTGGGGGACTTTGTAAGGCAGGTAGAGTTGAGATTGCAAATAGGCTCCTTATAACTGTTCAAATGAAAGGAATGGTTTTGACCCCACATACTTATAACCCTGTTATACAAGCACTCTTTAGACGGAAGAGATCTAATGAAGCCATGAGACTTTTCAGAGAGATGACAGAGAAGGGTGATCCTCCAGACACTGTCTCATATAAGATTGTTTTCCGTGGGCTCTGTTGTGGAGGAGGACCAATCAGAGAAGCTGTTGATTTTTTGGTTGAAATGATTGAGAAAGGATTTTTACCAGAATTCTCATCATTCTATATGCTGGCTGAAGGACTTTGTGCTTTAGCTATGGAAGACACCTTAGTAAAACTTGTCTATATGATAATGGAGAAAGCAAATTGTTCAGGCAGTGAGGTCGCTGTGATAAGAGGATTCCTAAAAATCCGCAAATTTGAAGATGCATTGGCTACCCTTGGCAGCATTTTGGACAAGAGAAAGCCAAAAAAAACTTTCTGGTCAAGATGAAGCCACTCTCATGGTTGCTTGCTTACACAAATTTGTCACCTGATACTTAACCCGCCAATGCACTTGGGAATCCATCCACCACAAGGATATTCTGCTTTCCGCAGAAATTTTGGAGCTGGGAAAAAACTGTGCTGTACATAGAACACATCAACACATATAGACTTCCTTTCCTATTCCAAAATTCCCAAGGAGGAGATTTCGTCTTCTACCTTCAGCTTCAGCATCTGCATTATTCTTGTAGACCAGCAACCCTTGCTTTTTCTAAATGGAGATACACTACCAGAGCTGATTCTAGATAAATTTCCCTGTGTTATTTTTTTGGTAAATTGTAAAGAATACTTCTGATCTGTATCCTTGTGGACAGTCTAAACCTCTCCATTAGTAGTCATTGTATTTAGTCAAAAATCTAGTTGTGGATTATTTTTTTGGTTTCCTATCCGGTATCCGGGACTTCGCCCCAACTAATTCAGATCGACCCGCGTTGCACACCTGGAAATGATGGGTGAGTCTCCCAACGGAGACTGCTGCATTCTAGTTGTGGATTATTGTATCATGAAACTAACACTGTTTTCCTTAAAATAGGAGAATGTACTCTAATCTCTAATTATGTTGGAAGTTAATGATTAAGGTACAGTTAATGCAGTAATGCAAAGACACCTATTCCATTGAAAAGGTTCAGATCCCTTTTAATTATTAATTTATAACGAATTATTGTAATTTTGAAGGGAAATGAATCATTGCAACTTTTTCTATTGAAATGGTTTCAAACTTTCAATTGAAAATTTTGAAGTATATGGCCAAAAAAGAAGATTTATTTATATAAAAAATTATTACACAGTGTAGACTGTAGTAAACTGTAAAACAATTATTCTTAAATTGAGAAAAGCATGATATTGTGTCCCTTTTTCATATCCAAAAGGTCCATATTTTATATATTAGTGTCTTTTGCTTACAACATAATCTGCTTCTAATATCTTCTTCTTCCATCACTCCTAGTTTCCTACTAGATGTTTGATAACTAATCTGCACATCTTATACTCATTAATAAGAAGCCGAGTACTTAATATTAGATGTTTTTTAGTCATTAATGATTATAAGACTTGCAGTTTCTGCAGGGCGGAACTGTAAAACTACTCTCTTCTACAGGTTTCATCAGATTTTTTTCACAAGCAGAAATAAAGGTTTCATCATGTTCGATTTGTCATATGCAATTCATTTGATTCCTTTGGAAACAGTAGAAGATTAAAATATCTGAAGAATCTTCATAATCCTCCATGCTTTCTTTCATTTCCTGTATTTTCTTACCAACCAAACAGTTTCGTAGATTAAGAAGACTCCAACGTCTTGCTTATGTTCCCTTCTCACAAATCTAGCTCGTACCCTTTCTTCGTAAGCAGCTGATATTTCCAGTGTTGAAAATTGATTTTATGATCTACTGGAGCCGGAGAGCTGGCAGTAATGGACTCTGCGGATTCTCGCGACGGAGAAGTGCCTCTGGTTGTGGATAATTTGCAACGTCAAAAACACCGAAAAACTACACAAGAGATGTTCATATTTTGAGCTTCGCTTTTTTGCTTTTCTTTCTCGCCTATGGAGCCGCCCAGACTTTAGAGTCTACTGTCAATGCTGTGAGTTTTTCATTTCATTTAAATCGCCTTTGAAGTGATTTTCATGGTTATGAAGTTTGAATTTCGTTTCAGGCAGGAGATTTGGGAACAATATCACTTGGGATTTTGTATGTTTCTTTCTCAGTCTTCTCTTTAGTTGCATCATTGGTGGTTCGTGCTCTGGGCTCAAAGAATGCTCTTGTTCTTGGGACAACTGGTTATTGGTTATTCATAGCAGCAAATTTGAAGCCATCCTGGTAATCTCTTATCCGTTTTCTCTAATTTGAAGCAAACTGAATAAAGATTTTGAATGCCTATGGATGTTAAATAATATACACCATATTTTAATTTGTCTCCTTTAGGTATACCATGGTACCGGGTTCTTTATACCTTGGTTTTGTTGCGTCAGTAATATGGGTTGGAGCGGTGTGTTCATATTCTTCTTTTATATAGTTCTTTCATCATCTTTTATTGATTAACAACAATTAGAGATAGAACCCCAGAATTTTTTCTTGCGTTTGGGTCTATCAGGGGACATACCTTACTTTCATTGCTCGCAGTCATGCAAGGGGTTTTAATTTTTATGAAGGAACAGTGATCGGTAAATTCAATGGAGAATTTTGGGGAGTGTACAATGCTAACCAGGTCTGAAAACAAGTTTATTATATTAGAGAAGTCGGAATAAATTTTCCATCATTGAAATTAATCCCACTTCAATTTCATAAATTTCAGGTTGTTGGGAACCTTATCTCGCTTGCTTTGCTGGGAGATGGAGAGGTATGTCATATGTTTTGGTTTTGTTCCTATGCTATCATTTCTAGATAGATATCTGCTGATGAAAAGAATGTCGCTCTACATATGTACCTAGTCACCCTTGGTTCTCTATATCTACTCAAAGTTTGTGGATTCTGGTAAAAATGTAATTCATTATCAAACTATAAGTTTTTTCTAGCTTAACAACCATTTCAAAACCGCAAAGACAAAGCTCTAGTAAAATAGGATTGGATGCAGTTTTAAGTTGTAATACCCCTGAAAAAGGGACTTTGAGGCCAAGAAGGCAAGAACTTAGGATTTGTCCTTTATTCTCAAAGTATTTTCTGAGTTGTGATAAATTACTCTTCCTTATCCTGTAGGATGGGAGTACAAGAGGCACAATTCTGTTGTTTACCGTGTTTCTTTGTAGCATGACATTGGGTACTACTCTTATATGCTTCTTGCACCAAAATGATAATAGAAAGGAAAAGGGACCAGCCGATTCTTCTGCAATATCTCTTTCAAAATCAGTTATTGCTCCTTTGCTTGACAAACGGATGCTATTGATAATTCACCTTTTTGCTTACACGGGCTTACAGACAGCTTTTGTATGGTATTCGTGAATTGACTTCAGATATGTTACATATGTACTTGGGTCATTTCTGTGACAATATGTTTCTGATCCTGGCTTCCAGTTGGTTTTTTCATGATGTGTGTTTTCAATTTCAGGGCTGATTTCACCAAGGAAATTGTAAAGCCAGCCCTTGGACAGTCTGGTGTCGGTGGTGCCATGGCAGTTTTAGGGGCTTTTGATGTAATAGTAAGTATTGAAAATGCAGGAACGTGTAGTCATTTGTATAATTAGCACTTTATGCATCTGATTCCCAATGAAATCTCTCTATCTCTGGATAGAAAATAATGCTTAAATTAACCCTTAGAAATCATCTTTCTTCCTCAAGGGGCTATTCAACGAAGGGTGAGGAAGTAGAAAAAGGAAAGAAAGATAGATTATGTTGCTTGTTTGGATATTTAGATCTTTTGTCTCAGCTCTTTCCAAAAGTTCTATCAGTGTTCAGTAGTGGCTGGTCGACTCACCTCTGGTCTCAAGTCAATCACATTCATACTTTGTGGTGGTCTTTTAGTTCAGGCTGTCGTATTCCTCTGGCTTCTGCTAACATACAGGTAGTATTCTCATTAAGGCGCTTCATACACTAATTTCCATCTCCCAGAATTCATGTTTTTAACTTTGTTGTAGTGCAGCATAACTGGTGGAGTCCTTGGCATTATATACCCACTTCTCACGGCAGGCCTACTGGGTGTTGGTGATGCAGTATTACATACACAGCTTAGTACTTTACTGGCACTGCTCTTTAATCATGACACGGTACTAACTAATCCCATTTCAAAATTTTAAACTTTTATGTGTTTTTCTAAGGTATCAATATGTTTGTTTAGTTGAAATTTGAAGCAGTTATGTAATTTGAATATCTGATCACAAATAAACATTGCTTATTTTAACAGGAAGGATCATTTGCACATATGAGGGTGCGGCAAAGTGCTGCCATTGCAGTCATATTCTTCCTGAGTCCACACATCTCATTTCAGACAATGGTGTTGATTATGCTCGCTGGGATCTGTGTTTCTTTGCTCACATTTCTGTTTCTTGCCCTCAAGGTAGAGAAAGCATTTTCCAGAATCGTAAATGCTAATATTTCAGCAACTTAACATGTGATCCGATGTCTCTTAAAGTGAATTTAAAGTTATACTATTGCTGTATGATAAAAAATAAAAATAAAAAAATCCATTGTCAAACTTAACCTTAAAAATTCATTTATAACAAGTAATGTCATTTTCTTTTTCTTTATTTTTCTACCTTCTACTGTAGTTGCATCTATTGTATATAAAAGTAAATGTGATCGAGTGTTGCCTGCTCTCTCAGTCTGGACTGGAATGTTCTGTTATTATGAACCAGCTTAACATTAAAGTTCTGATAAATTCTGATATATTTCTGCTGATATGTTGGCACGTGTCTCTCCTTATTCAAAAAGTAACTGTTGGCTTGAGTTGAACTCAAAACAACGAACTCTCTTGGCTTTG